GGTGATTAATCCAGCTGAGCTGAAGCAGCGACCGCGACTAAACTTGCCACGAGCAGTTGTTGGACCTCCACTGGCAATACCGTGGTTTTCATGACCAGAGTCATCATCAACATAGATCCCAGTCTCCTCGTCCATCTTCCAGTGGCCAATCAAACTTGTACGATTGGGTGATGGTGATGGGTTTGGCTTAGCAACGCTGTACGGTGCCCAATGGCGATTGTGACAAACTTGTAAAGAGTTACAAGCGGGATTGAAGCGCACTAATCCAGTCCTCATCATGGTACAGGTTTGCTCGACGATTGTTAATGCACTATATTGATGCACACAATCACCCTGTAATGATAACAAAACCAATCAAGATTAATATCATGATTGGCAATATATATTTTTTATGACTAGAGAGAGATTGATGAAAGTCTGTCTGGAGAGAGGATATTTCTTATAATCATCTTAAAAATACTTACTTGTTTAGCCCTTAGTTTAACTTTTTTTTCCGTCGAGAGACCAATGAACAGAGCAAATAGCAAGACAAAGCTTGGTGCTATCATTATGGCCAGTTTTCTCTCTGCGCGTGGTAATGTGGTACTGCTGCTGGTTGACGATAAACTGAATCAGACAGCAATATCCCATTCCTTTGATTTGTTAGAACAATGGAGCACTATTTTAGTCCTTGCATAACTTTCTCCATATATTGAATGTCACCTATTGTATAGATATCTCAATAATATCCTAAACACTTTAAAATACATGAACCGTAGAGTAAGAGGTCATGTTTTTGCTGAAACAGGAAAATAGCAACATGGATTGTTTTCATGAGAAAATAGCTGATATGCAGAATTTTGCGGGGACTGTGATATCCATCGATTTTCATAAATTTCCTTCAAGACACGAAAAACTAAGTCTGATTAACTAGTAAGATTTTGCAGCAGTGCAAATAAATAAAGATTCGTAAACTCGTTTCCTTGTGTGGTAGTTATTTTAGGTGTTAATTGTGTGTTGTTGTTTTTGTTTGTTTTTTGTTTTTGTTTTCGTTTTTTTGTCGTTTTGTACATGCAAGGAATAAAGCAATAAAGGCTCTGAAATCATTTTATTTGCGTTTTGTTGTTATTTTTAGCTTTAGCTGTTGTTTTGACTTTGTAGCAACGAATTATGCTTGAAAAAAGCACGACCAATATCATGCCTCACTGAATTCCTATGTCTTGTCTAACTAACCACTAACCATCCTCGGGAACCCAGGGGTAATCTTCTGTCGTTCGTTCCTCACTCCCAGAAAAAAATAATTTCTGGGAGTGAGGAACGAACGACAGAAGATAACCCCTGGGTTCCCGAGGATGAGCACTAACTATTCCATATATAGAGAATTCAAAGTATTTTTTCCCTCTGGCTTAGATTAAAAATAAACGAGGGTCAAAGAATTTTCCATGAAATCGTTCAAATTAGTCCATTAAAGAGTGAGAAAGTGTTACTTAATAAACTCCGCCGTGTAATAAAAGCACTAATGTCTATCATCGAGCTTATCAATACCATTTAGTAGGACTAGTTCTTTCACGAAATGAGCTTGCTCTCAACTAGCGTACTTAAGCGTTTTTTTATGAAAAATAGTTTGGATAACAATGGATACAATGCAGTTTAAGTGGGGTCTACACTTTGATATTAGTTGCCGTGTTCCGTTATCTCTTTGAACTTAATGTGTTAATACATAAACAGTGAGGTATGTTTTTGATAATACGGAATAGCGTTAATCCTTATATTCCAACCCGGAAGTAAAAAACATGTGAATTAATAATGTTGACTGACTTGTTTCTAGGACAAATCCTCGTAAACAAAATAATATGTATAAACAAAATTCATGCTTCTGCGCGACACAAATGAATTCTACTACATTGATTCTTGTAAGTACGCCTTAGCTTTGAGCGATAGAATTCGTTCGAAAACACGTTAACAGATTTTTTCGAGTAATTCAATTCAATTTTAAGTGCGTTTTGTTTTGATTTTTAGTTTGGCCTTTTAAAATAAACTCGTTAGAAAACACGTTCATTTGTGTACTGGGTCTTGATATTGGTTATTTTTACTTTAGCCTTACAACGTCTTCCGTCTTGATTTTGCTGCGGCGCGTTTTTGCGTTGTTGCGTTGTTGCGAAGTGTGTGGTTATATTAGCTTTAGATATGCCTTGTGTCTTGATTTTGCAGCTGCGCAAATAAACAAGTAAAGCTAGTGATTTCAGAGCGTTTATTCCTTTGTGCTGCTGGCGCAAAAACGGGAAAAAAAAAACACAATTAATAAATCCAAATAGCTACAATAGGCAAGAAAACGCCGCGTTCAAGATGTTTTTATTGTTGTTATGCTTTAGTAGCCGTGTTGACAATATGTAGCAACGAATTATGCTTGAAAGAAGCATGTCTTGTCTAACTAAGCACTAACTATTCCATATTTGGCACTATCTATTTCACGGGTATATTATTTGCACTCTACCCCGAAAATGAATAAAATACATTAACTTTATAATGCAGACCAACCGTCCCATGATGCAGCACGAGCCAAAAATCGGCGGCCAACAATCAGCAACGACAGCACTTGTTGCTTTACTAATCTTTAAATTTTGGAATCACGGAAGTGTATGGATATCTAATTGTCTTGTATTTAACACAACTGATTCGAATTTTACTCTTAATAAATGTGTATAGTTCTAATAACTAATTAAAAGACTATCAAATTGGTAAGTAATTTCAATTATATATTTTTTCCCAGACGTAATTTTTTTACGGGGGTTGGGGGGGGGGGGGATTTTATTCATTAAGATGTTTATATTTATACTTATTAAGTTAAGATAAAAGAAGTCTTGAAAAATATCAAAAAAAAGGAGAACATTTACGGCTTTCACGACTGAAGGCAACACAAGTAGAGCCCAAGCGCCCTGTGGATGGCCAGGCCGTGAGAAAGGAACCAAAAATATTGGCGGGAACATTTCATACAGAGACTCATTAGAATTAAGGTAAACCTTTATTTTCACATGCACACCATGAGGAAACTAGTTTAACAATCAATTACAAGGAGGATTAAATAAAGGCTAACACTACCACCAAAGTCATTTTAACAATATATAAACGGTGAATGTTCCAATGTTAGAACGGCACTTCCGGTTTTCTGTTGGCTTCTCATCAAACTCTATGATCCATGTAGATTTGATTGACATCTTGATCCTGTAAGGCATAATTGTACAACCTGTACTCATCAATGGTTCCCTTGGTCTTCCATCCATACAACTCGCCAAACACTAGATCCATCTTGTTGTCGACACTTCCAGTGACACTGCTTATGTCCATCTCATTGCTTTGTTTTTTCCCGTTCACGTAGACTCGTACCTTCCCTGCTTTTCGNCTATATCATAGCAACATGGATTGTTTTCATCAGAAAATAGATGATATACAGAATACTGCGGGGACGTGATATGATATCCATCGATTTTCATTAATTCCCTTCAAGAAACTAATACCCTACAACAAACTTTTTCGGTACGCTCACTTTACTTGTGAGAGGTCTTTTCAACTCTCGTAAATAAAATCCGTATCTCCGCGCGACCATGTGATATCCTTTATTTAAGAAATATAAAACTACGGCCAAGCAAAAAAGCAAGACAAAGCTTCGTGCTATCATTATGACCAGTTTTCTCTCTGCGTGTGGTAATGTGGTACTGCTGCTGGCTGAGGAYAAACTGAGCCAAAGAGTAATACCCCATCTCTTTTATTTGTTAGATCAATTGATTACTATTTTGGTCCTTGACGTTCTTTATATATTGTATGTCACCTACTTTATATACTTAGATATGAGTAATGACCTTAAACATGTTGTGATRCATGATCTGTTTGAATAAAAGGTCACTGACCTCAAGTTGTGTTATTAGCGAACAGAAAAAAAAGCTCATAGGAACTCATAGGAGCTCATAGAAGCTCATGGATTGTTTTCATCAGAATATACGTGATATACAGAATATCGCAAGGATTGCGATATCCATCGATTTTTGTTAATTCCCTTCAAGCAGGAGCCCATTACTGTTACTAGGAGCGTCCATATCCTGTACTATGTGCGATGAACTACGCATGCGCWTAGCATACATTTCGTGGCGTTTTCATAGACGTGTCTATTTTTAGATTTCTTTTTGACCAATGATAAGTCACTTCAGGTTGGTCACGAGCGCGGCAAATCGGCGGAAACATGGGGCGAGGTCCGGATGAAGAAATAGATAATATAGAATAAATGGCGGACTGAAACTTATAGTTTTGGTAAAACGCTTGCGTAAAAAAAACAAAAATTCCGGCAGTGTTTTGTCCTTTAAGGTGGCTCATCCTGAATTGACTGTTATCATTCTTGTCCACGATCGCAGAGGTCATGGGTTCGATTCCCGTTGAAGCCAAAAAGCATTTTCGGGCATTATTATATTTCACTGCGACGATCCGATAATTCATTACACATATTTTAGTCTGTAGAACGACGTCATAGCAGTGTTGTTTTGCCCATTTTTAACTCGAAGATTGCGAAGCAATCGAAGAGTTNTTCTAACTTACTTTTAGATAGCAACATTAGAAATAGTAGAATCTTTTTATGCTGAAGCTGAAGGTCAAATTTCGAAGCTAAAAAAATGAAAGAGCAGAAGAACCCAGCAGTGAAGAAGGAAAAGTCGATTGAGAATCTGCAAGTTCCACGAGTGTTACCGCTACGCCTAAGTTCAGCCTCGATTTCTCTGTTACATAATTCAAATTTCAAAAGTAAAAAAGAAAACAGGATGAACAATCTTCAGCGATATTTAGAGAATGATAGTAAGAGAAAAAGGGACTGAGAATTGCTAAAGAAATGAACTGACTTTTCTTCATAGCCTAGGTCATAGRTTTTTCTATGAGAATCATTAAAGCGTCTCTATTTTGCACACCACCGGCCAATGTCACTGCAGATTTGCGGCGCGTGTGAATGCAACCGGAAGTGACTTCTCATTGGTCAAAAAGAAATATAAAAATTGTAAAAATAGACACGTCTATTAAAACGATGGGACCAAACGAAATACGTGCACATCATGCACGCTCGTCGCACGCTTCTAGTATAAATGGGCTCATGCTTCAAGAGAACTCAAGAGTGCACCCTAGAAGCCGACGAACTAATCTAATATTTAACAATTAGACCTCCCGCCCTCATGGGCTACGTTCAATAGCCCACATTTGGCCGAAAGCTCATTTTTCGGACCAGTGCTTATCTCAATCTCGGGCATAATCAGCCGATATCCCAGCCGCCAGAAGGGATTTATTTACTAAAAATACAGATATACATGAAGTGAATATTTCATCAAGACTAACCGTCCCATGATGCAGCGCGAACCACGAATATTAAAAATGGCGGCCAACAATCGGCACCGATAGCACTTCTTGCTTTAAATAATCCTTAAATTTTGGAATCATGGAAGTGTAAGGATATCTAATTGTCTTGTCTATGAACTGATACATCGATTTTATCTTTGATGGTTTTTTTTTTCATTTGCAGCTTGAAGGAAAAGTCTGTGATGTTGAGTAATTTCGAGGTAAGCTTACAGACCGATCACTTTGTAGCTTGTTAAATGTCATTTCTAGTTTGAAACTGATCACGTATTTACTTACCAGGTTTATCAGTTATTACAAGARGCTGAGACAAAAACGTCAAAATCCAAAAGTATCAAAAAACACCAAGTAAATTTAGCAACAATTTCTTACGAGGTCAGTGTGCAGCGCCGACTTATAACCTTTCATCATGTGTTGAGCTTTAATGCTTTACTCTGTAAGCTTCAGTATTATCATCCAAACTTTGCTTAATTTGTGACGGTATGTGTATTATAGTGTCATAAGTCCATACTGCATGACCCTTAATACTCTCCTTCATGATTACGAGCGCGGTGCGCCATCTTGAAAGTTAGCCGTGCCTTTACATCGAAGCGAGACAACCGTTGAGCTTGCAATGATAGATACCTGTGAATAATTGTCTTTAGGTGTGAAAGAAGGTTTCTATCATTGCACACTCAATGGCCATCTCGCTTCAATGCAAAGGCATGGCCACCTTTCAAGATGGCGCAAGGAACTACARGACTATTTCATTCCCCCAATTTCTTTTTTTCTCTTTTATCCCTTTCTACCCTTTTATCTTTCAATGCAACGTTTTTTTTTTTACGTAATGTAACCAGTTCTTTAATAAAGGTCAAGATGCTCATACATCCATTTCTTCTTTAGGCTCGAAAATACCTTGAAAAGACACCCTGTAAGCACCAGGTAGACCCAAATGACCTAGCAATTATGATGGTATTTCACTGAAAACTGTAAAAATATTTCATACAGAATGCTGAAGTCATTGAAGATTTCCTCAAGTCTCTTGCTCCATTCAACTTAACCAAGTAAGTAAAGACTTACTTGAAAATTGYGTAGGAGGGGTTTTTGTATGACGCAAGGTGTTGCCAAAATCTACATGTCATTTCGTTTTAAAACTTTAATGTGAATGTATGTCATGTTATGAATCCTTTGTGCTTCAGTMAATTCAGTTCAACTCCAGTCACTCTATTGTTTGATTTTCTTTACCTCAGGGCAGAAAAATTACAACTTCTAAATCTACGGCCAGAGACACATGTAGAAATTCAATTGGTATGTGTACCTTTCTCATAATTGGTGTAATTGGCCTTTGCAACTTGTGAAGATAGTTCTTATTTAGTTTTGGGTTGGTTTAGCCTCTACATCCTGTGTGGTTTACTCAAGTCATTTGAATGCCACTACCCCCCTCCTGTAGAATTTAACATTCAGACCAAAGGTAGATCGAGTGGACTATGAGTCATGATAGTCCATGAGGATGTACTCGCTTGAATGGACTATCATCTTGTGCTTCACAAGACCAAAATGTTCTAATTGTTTTAGAATCCACCAAACTATAGGGCAAACTTGAAAAAAAATCATAAAAATACAATTTTTCTCAACATTTTCTTTTAACTGTTTTCACTCCATGCCGTGCAAACATTGTATAAAGTGAAATAACATAGTTTAGTAGCCAATCAGAATGCTGGATTTGTAATAGCCCATTGTCTGGTGGATACTAATGTGAGATATTTACAATTGAATCTAGATAATTGAAGAAAGTGTTGAGAGATTTAAAACTGAAGAAGAAATTCAAGAACTTCTTGATATAGTGGCAAAATTGCCATCAGACCATAAAGAAACAATTAGCAAAGATGAAATAGGGGATGAAGAAATGGAAGAAGAAAAAGACAATGAAATAGAAAATGAATAATTTTATTGTAATATTTACATACTATATTTATTAAAAAAWTTTTTAATGAGGCATTTCTATTCATTGGTACATCATGCATTTTTCTGTATTTTCCCCTTAAGTTAGCCTGTGTACATCCGTTTCCCACCCCTCCCCCTCTACAGGGAAAATTTGGGGAGGAAACCGTTCTCTCCCTGATTTTTGCTGAGGGGTGAGAAACGGATGTACRCAGGCTACCCTCAAGTCTTTTGCAAGAACAGTGATGGCCATTTTCACATTAGTACCCTCTCTCGTAATAAAATCATGATTTTTTATCAGTTTAGTTTAAACTGATTGTGCTGTGTACAAATTTGATGTAAGTCACGGCAGTGTGTTGCTTGCGTGACGTGACATAAACATTTCTGAATCCAAAATAAGTATGTATCAATGGTTTACAATGTAAAAAAGAATATTCTTTTCGATTCTCAAGTAGACCCATTGCTTTTCCMTTTAATCGTGACAAACGTGCCTTTTATAACATAACTAATTCGGTCTCTTGTTAGCAGATGTCTTACCGTTAGTTTGAATCAAAAATCGAAATATTATAATTAAAGTCATTTAAAAAATAGCAAACAAAGGAAATTATTTTTGACTTGAGTTCATTTCGTCGAGAATTAATAAAAGTAATGTTATTTTCACGTAAGTAGTGTATAAAASATACATTGGAAACAMTYCCTTTATCAAGTGGTAGCGTGGCCGAGTGGTCTAAGGCGCTGGTTTTAGGCACCAGTCTCGAAAGAGGCGTGGGTTCGAATCCCACCGCTGCCATTAAATTTTTCTTTTTTTTTCTTTATCGTTGCTTTTCTTATTCAGCTCTATATTACATTTTTTAACCTTTTCTTATTGTGTTTGCTAATAAATATTTATTTATTTTTCGAATTTTAAATGTTTTTACATTCCAACTCGTGGATGTCATATCAATGTTCGGGTGTAAGTGCGCCAACACGAGTTTTCACCATAAGTGTCATTGAGTTTTTTTGGGGGGGGAGGAGGGGGAGATTTTAAAAGTGTAGAATCAAATGTGTTTGTTAGTTTAATGGAATTTGCTGGATTTGGCTCTGGGCTCATCCGTTTTATTATCCGTTAATAACGTTATTTTTTCGGGTAAACGTCGACTGTAACGCAGACTATAATAATAATATATAGTACTTTTATTTTTAGGTTTTGTTATTTTTGGTTGTTGTTGGGTTTTACTGTCAAGCAAAAACAAATGCAGCGTTGCCTTGCTCCCAATGGGAGCTACAAAAAAGAGCGTCCAAATGTTTACYTTTCTACTGTATTATTTAATAAWACCCCGTGTATGTAATTAAAAACCGCATTACCATTGATTACCACGCATTTTTGTCATAAAGAATCCCAAATTCTTTTGAAGATTTTGATTAAAACTCAATTCCCAAATTGCCGGTCGCTTTATTGTTTGTAATAGTCCTTTTCTTTTTGTTAGTTCTGTGACAATCTTTGGTCAGTCCAAAGCTATTAGTTTAAATGGCTTCGTGCCTCTGAACAATCACTTAGAAAACAACTAGAGGTTTTCGGTGTGAAAAGTACACTAATGGGGTTTGTATAAAGGTGCTTTTCAGTTGCTTCTTTCGAAATGACCATGAACAAGAGTGACCATGGCGAAGCAAACAAGAAAGCCGTCCAAGAAGTCAACGTGGCGACTGCCACAGCCCATAGAAACCGAGAAGACATTGCTGGGGCCTTCGTTATACAGTCGTGGTCAGAACGAGCTACTTACTTATAGTTAATTGATAGATCTATTTACATTAATGCTTGAAGTATTTTGACTATATTAGAGCTCCCATTGATATWAGTTACATTACCCTGCTTGCTCTATGATTTACAGCGTGCAGTGGAGATAGGCTGAAGATTAACGTGTCTAAATGCTATCTAGAAAATCAAGACGAGATAACTAAGCAAAATGAAAATGACAGTAGCGAACGCAATGACGRCAGCGACGAAGATTCSGACGACCAAGATGACGACGARTGCCATGAAGAGATAAARGAAGCAAAATCCCGCCGACCAAGGACGACGTTCACTAACTACCAGCTTGCTAAACTGGAAACAAGCTTTCAGATGGAACAGTACCCGGACATTTTTGCACGTGAAGAGCTGTCCAGGAAGGTTGGTCTATCAGAACCGAAAATCCAGGTACTATTCAATTTCTGAACTGATTAGTACAACAAAGACTCATTGGAACTTTGGGTTTTTCTGCGACTTAGTAAAATAAACAAACTTTGTACATGTTATATGTTACATAAAAAAAACATTTTCCTTTCATTTAGTTATATGGCGTCATTAATGCATGAGATTTTGGAATGAATGAAATTCAAGCAAAATTTTCGCTTTAACTTGTGTTGTATTTCTAAAATACTCAGTGTATAAATCAGATTTGTTGTGYTTCTAGGTGTGGTTCCAAAATAGGCGAGCCAAGTGGCGTAAACACGAACGTAATAGCAATCAGCCTTCATTTGGAATGCGGTATTTGGCGACTCAGGGGCAACAACCATCTGGAGTATCGTTCTCAGACACCCTTAGTGAATGCCAAAATAGTGGCCCTATTGGATGTTACTGCAGTCGACCCAACTACACGMGATATCACAGTCCATACTTCTATCCCAGTTATACATCAATGCACTATGGGTACTCTCCTATACAGAGATAYTACTACCCTGGCTACACAATGACACACCCTCATCAGAGCGGGTACTTGTGCTCGTGCTGTGTGAGCGAGTGTCCGTCTATAGGTAGAGGGACGACGTCTAGAGGTGCGGTGACCGAGAGGTTCGAGTCCTCGGCGTTATACCCGTGCAGAGGCCTCCTGCAAACGCCCTACAGTGTTCAAGATTTAAGGCGTAAAGCYAGAATGTGTATGCATGGTATTACGGGCCGCTAGATTCAACAAGATAATAAATTGTGAATTGATGAGGAATACTTGTTCAAGTTTCTTTACTATGAAAACGCATGGGATTGATGTAATATATATACAATATTCGCGTCTGATTTGTGTTGGACTATACACTTCAGTTGTCCCGAATAGGCAATGCGACAGCGACGCCATTTTGTGCAGCAAAGCATGATGGTAGTCCTCGTAAATTTTCTTGTCCGCAGTAAATCATTCCTTCTGAAATAAGTGTTTTTATTATTTCCAAGTCAAAATAACTGTTGTTTTGCCGTTTCTACAAAAAAGAAGCTTATAGAGGCTTTTAACGAGATATTTTATGGTCTATAATAAGTGCGAGGACTACAACTACCATCATACTTTTCTGAACAAAATGGCTTCGCCGAACACTGTCTTCTCAAAATGCTACAGTATTGTGTACATTATAATCAACTTTTATTTCAATTTGAGACATTACAGTTGAATATGATGAATTAGATTAACGGTATTCCACCTTAACAAAATAACTCGATATACATGATTTGTATAACCACTATCTACATTAATATTTACATCATTCTGATTATAGTGCATCATGGAAGAACCGAGGTCATCTCGTGCAAAAATATACCCCCTCAGGGGAGGGCAAAGGCTGTGATTTGGTAAAATGATTTATTGAASTTGTTACTGAAATCTGCTTCGTGTTTCTTAGGACTTCATCCGAAAATGYCTAGAAGCACGAGTGCTCAGGTVGAGTGCTTTTTTCCAATTCAGGATGGTAGCTTTGGGAGTTTCTAAGTTCATTCATGTGAYCAARTAAGAAAATCYCATTRCGTGAAAAACTAATCAATGTTCTTTCTTTCGTTTGAAATCGAAGTGAGAAATTACCCATTAAAGTCCAAAATTTGCTCAAAGCTTGAAGAAATAATCATCTTTTCAATATAATAGTAACAATAATAATAAAAACAAGAATTCAGAGAAGAACACGTAAGAGGATCACCATTGATCGATTTTTAGCGAAAGGATACTTGGAATTGAACGTCAATGAGCGAAGAAAATAGAAGGAAAAAAGAAAACTGTCCTGTTCTGTTTTAGAAACATTGTACATTGTATGAAACCTTAACCCAAAGGAAAAAATCAGAAAAACGAACACAAAAAATTACACTTAAACTACAAAATGACAGGCCTTTACCCTGATTACGAACTGCAAAGTCTGATAATTTAATCGTCGAAGTATAAACATATAATCAAAAGAACAATAACGTCTACATTGTTGATGGTCGGAAATTATTTTAAAGACTTTGTRATAGCTTTTCTTGTTCTACTAGAAACGCGTCARGCTCCGTTTACACGAATATGAACCGTTTTACGTACGCAAGAAACGGAACCCAGAATACTAAAACGCAACAAGTCAAAACGCATATGTTATAGGACGGTGCCTTACATGGAACGTTAACAAATCGCCGCAAATACGAAAGATGTGTCTAATATATTAAGGCATGCAATTGATTAATCGAAAACTTGTTCAACAAGTTCATTATAAGTGGTTCTGGTGATTGTAGGAAGCAATGCCTTGGTTGATTGGCTTGGTTGCACGATGGTGGGTTGAATTACCATGGGAATGTTGCCAGGTGTTATGGGATAACAGTCCTGTTAATAATTTAAGGTGTCGTTAATGTTGGTTTTCACAGAAATAGAACTCTAGCGACTAGACAAACACAGTTTCACATATAGCTTCGCCTAAATTCTTCCTTCAAAATGTCCTCTTGTTCAATTAGTTTTCTTATTTATATATTATTTTAAGAAACTTTGATGTCATAAAACGCTTCTAGCATCCCAGACATATTTCAAGTACTCCATATAARTTTATTCAAGCGACTGCAAAACGTCTAAAGCTAGGAAGGAAACACTCGAGGTATTGAAAAATCAACATTATCAACAACAACAACAGCAACAACAAGGTCAATAGCAACAACAATAACAATTTAGCTACAACAACAAGAACAATAGCAACAACAACAACAACCTGATATACCTGATATCACTGGATGTACTCCTGCCATCAAACTGTGACTTCATGAGTGGTTTTTAACGTGCCTACTTTACCGTTTGTAGCACTGATATACGCAAGAGACTGCGGTGTGGAGTTAATGGCTGTTACAAACGACTCAGGTCGTAAAGTTCTGTTATCTCGTCTGTCTGTTGGATTCTGTTGAAAAAACAGTTAATAACAGTTAATAGTTGTATGGTTAGAATGCGATCATGATTATGGCAGTAAAAATGACGATGAGTTTTGTGTTGATCACGTTCTACTGCTAACGGTAATTAGGGTGAAGATATGGATGAAGGCATAGAAAATGATGGAAATGATTCACGTTAGGGGTGTAAGGGTTTGGGATAACGAAGCATAGCCGARTTGAGTGAAACCGAGCCGTAGCCGAGCATGGGTTAAGAACACACGAGTTAGTCGGTTGAACATGATGCTTCACAGCTCAAAGAAATGGGATAAAAATTTCAATAACAAGGAAAGCAATGAAAAAAAGTGAATATTCTTTAATTCACTCTCATGAATATTTGATTTTATTCCGACGCACGCATCAACATTGAAATGTGCTGTTAAATCATGAACGGTGATAAATCATTGCTTTTTTGTTTGTTTGTTTGTTTGTTTGTTTGTTAATTTGACAAACTGATTATTGGACCATGACGATGACAATAAATCTGATTTTCTACAATATAATCATGATGATGATTATCATTGATTCATCATTCGATGCTGACAATCATAACGATTATACTAGCAATTATATACAACTTAAAATCTAATGTGTACTAGGACTGGATACATACATTTGGACCATCTCTTGATACGTGGATTCTAATGTCATGTAATTCAGTGTCATCTGTTGGTTTGGTCTTCTTTTTATTAGTTTTAGCAGTAGTTGCTTGCATCTTTTGATATCTTTCTTTAAATCCTAAGTATCTATTCAAATCAAAACGAAAGAATCCATATTGTCAATAAATCTCCACAGCCTGTRCAATCTTTAAAGTGCTACTATACATAACTAAAACTCCTATTTTGAAACTGCTAGTAATTCAAACATGGGCCTTATTTATACATATTAGAACTCTCACAGGGAAAAGTTTTCGTTGGGAGTCATCCAAATGCAAGGAATTTTGGTTTAAAAGATAAAAGAATAATAGTTTTAAGTCAATGTCATCATTGACTGTACAAAATCTATGCCAAAATATTTAAGAACTTTCATCAGAATGTATGAAAAATAATAAAAACACGTTGCTCAATGATCAATAAATAGATAGATTTACTCGACTTTTTAGCAATTTGACAATTTTTGTTATAGCACCACTTTAAGACCTCTGATTACATAATTAGTTTTTTCCAAAAAATATTCTTGAAAATACATAAGGCTGAAAGTATTTAGCAAAATCAAAGTAAAATATTTACCTTGGATACTGACTGATACAAAACACAGAAGCACAGTTGTTTTTACACCCTTTATCAAATGGATTGTGACCACTACGAAACTTTCCAGTAACCTAATACAAKAGACAAATTACGATATCATTGCTTGACACTAAAAACATGACTCGTAAATCTTAAAGCTTTTTTGTTGTTGCTCTGTTTACATTGTGGATAACTATTAGTACCACAAACGTTATCCACAATTTCTAACTTAATATTTTGTTGTTGTTTTTCATGGAGATGAGTTGTTTGTCAAGAAACAAACCTGTTCATTTGTTGTTCGTCCCATTCCAACCAAACCMATATGAAAGAAAGTAAGACCAAATACAGGTACCGCGGCCAGACTACATATACACAGAATAACAATACTGACAAAGWTGTTAAGGATTATACAAGAAAARKTKRAWTTKKGGCAATACAAATTTAWGAACTGATTCACTGTCTCTGTCAAAAACTTTGATAAGGTCATAGTGAACTGTCATTGTAAACTTTTTGAACTTTTTCATATGGTAAATTTAAGTGCAAAACAATGATCTTCATGACTATTTAGTGACCAATGGATATATAAATAAACAACCAAACAAAAACTGAAAAGTGTGACAATATTAATAAACGAATCAGTCAACAANCAACAACCTGATATACCTGATATCACTGGATGTACTCCTGCCATCAAACTGTGACTTCATGAGTGGTTTTTAACGTGCCTACTTTACCGTTTGTAGCACTGATATACGCAAGAGACTGCGGTGTGGAGTTAATGGCTGTTACAAACGACTCAGGTCGTAAAGTTCTGTTATCTCGTCTGTCTGTTGGATTCTGTTGAAAAAACAGTTAATAACAGTTAATAGTTGTATGGTTAGAATGCGATCATGATTATGGCAGTAAAAATGACGATGAGTTTTGTGTTGATCACGTTCTACTGCTAACGGTAATTAGGGTGAAGATATGGATGAAGGCATAGAAAATGATGGAAATGATTCACGTTAGGGGTGTAAGGGTTTGGGATAACGAAGCATAGCCGAATTGAGTGAAACCGAGCCGTAGCCGAGCATGGGTTAAGAACACACGAGTTAGTCGGTTGAACATGATGCTTCACAGCTCAAAGAAATGGGATAAAAATTTCAATAACAAGGAAAGCAATGAAAAAAAGTGAATATTCTTTAATTCACTCTCATGAATATTTGATTTTATTCCGACGCACGCATCAACATTGAAATGTGCTGTTAAATCATGAACGGTGATAAATCATTGCTTTTTTGTTTGTTTGTTTGTTTGTTTGTTTGTTAATTTGACAAACTGATTATTGGACCATGACGATGACAATAAATCTGATTTTCTACAATATAATCATGATGATGATTATCATTGATTCATCATTCGATGCTGACAATCATAATGCTTATACTAGCAATTATACAAATTAAAATCTAATGTGTACTAGGACTGGATACATACATTTGGACCATCTCTTGATACGTGGATTCTAATGTCATGTAATTCAGTGTCATCTGTTGGTTTGGTCTTCTTTTTATTAGTTTTAGCAGTAGTTGCTTGCATCTTTTGATATCTTTCTTTAAATCCTAAGTATCTATTCAAATCAAAACGAAAGAATCCATATTGTCAATAAATCTCCACAGCCTGTRCAATCTTTAAAGTGCTACTATACATAACTAAAACTCCTATTTTGAAACTGCTAGTAATTCAAACATGGGCCTTATTTATACATATTAGAACTCTCACAGGGAAAAGTTTTCGTTGGGAGTCATCCAAATGCAAGGAATTTTGGTTTAAAAGATAAAAGAATAATAGTTTTAAGTCAATGTCATCATTGACTGTACAAAATCTATGCCAAAATATTTAAGAACTTTCATCAGAATGTATGAAAAATAATAAAAACACGTTGCTCAATGATCAATAAATAGATAGATTTACTCGACTTTTTAGCAATTTGACAATTTTTGTTATAGCACCACTTTAAGACCTCTGATTACATAATTAGTTTTTTCCAAAAAATATTCTTGAAAATACATAAGGCTGAAAGTATTTAGCAAAATCAAAGTAAAATATTTACCTTGGATACTGACTGATACAAAACACAGAAGCACAGTTGTTTTTACACCCTTTATCAAATGGATTGTGACCACTACGAAACTTTCCAGTAACCTAATACAAKAGACAAATTACGATATCATTGCTTGACACTAAAAACATGACTCGTAAATCTTAAAGCTTTTTTGTTGTTGCTCTGTTTACATTGTGGATAACTATTAGTACCACAAACGTTATCCACAATTTCTAACTTAATATTTTGTTGTTGTTTTTCATGGAGATGAGTTGTTTGTCAAGAAACAAACCTGTTCATTTGTTGTTCGTCCCATTCCAACCAAACCMATATGAAAGAAAGTAAGACCAAATACAGGTACCGCGGCCAGACTACATATACACAGAATAACAATACTGACAAAGWTGTTAAGGATTATACAAGAAAARKTKRAWTTKKGGCAATACAAATTTAWGAACTGATTCACTGTCTCTGTCAAAAACTTTGATAAGGTCATAGTGAACTGTCATTGTAAACTTTTTGAACTTTTTCATATGGTAAATTTAAGTGCAAAACAATGATCTTCATGACTATTTAGTGACCAATGGATATATAAATAAACAACCAAACAAAAACTGAAAAGTGTGACAATATTAATAAACGAATCAGTCAACAATAAGAAAAAGTGCCAACCAACCGTCCAACAACAAAAAAGTGCCAACAAACCGTCCAACAACAAAAAAGTCCCAACATTCAGTCAACCACAAAACAAAACAAAACAAAACAAAACAAAAAACAAAACAAAAAACAAAACAAAAAACAAAACAAAAAACAAAGAACAGAGAACCAATATCAATATAGATAATACAAGTTACAAAAATGCATGGCTGACAAGGATACGAAATTATGACCTCCGGCATTCGTATGTCAGACTTTCTGTCCAGAACATGTACCAAAGATAAAGAAAATATAGAAATTATGTCCAATGAAAGTGAGAAGACAAATAAGAAGAAATATCGATAGTTTCTTTTCCCTATGCAGTTATCCACCCAAGGACAATGGTGATCAAACATCTGAAAATTCAAATGGTGAGAAGTTAGCAATGGTATCAGTCTATAAATATATTACAAATAACATCTATGTTCAAATATATGAATTATTTCTGTGACAAGAACCCAAAAAGAAGAGGAACAGGTGTTCTACATAGCTTTACCGTCGTTTGCACTGCTATGCAACTAGTCCAGCCAATATTCACAACATGCAATTAYCAACAGACTGGCATCAATCAAAATGTCCCTTATGGTGATGCAGCACTTTAGTCGATTGGCTGCAGCTATTGCTAATTGCATGCAACTGTTGTAGAAACAGGTTAAACTGGGTATTACACTGTGTTGACCCAGRACTATACATGCCTACAACATCCTGGGTGTTCTCCAGCCAAATAAAAAACCTAATTATGTCTATGAAAAGAACAGATTCTAATGGAACAAGATCAAAATCTGGCTTAGCCTGCTTCATTTAGATTGAAAGTGTAGATAAGTTCATTGTTTGGCCTTTATGAGGTCTAAACCTATTTTATCTTTAGCATGAGTTTCTAGGAACATACAGCTAGTATATGATGTCATTTCGCCATTGTACTTTAAGATTCATTAAATTTCATTTCAGATTTACATGGCGTGACTACTTGCTGATTGGCTTAGATGGAAATGCTTCTCTACAAATCTGCTCTAAAAAATACATTAATCAATGGATGGGCTGCCTGTGGATGGTCTGTCAAAATGATGACTTCTAAACTACGTACATATGTTAACTATACATCCATAATAATGGCTCCTGATATATGYAAGACTTATCATTTTTAAAATCTAAACAGCAGCAGCCCTAAAACTATTATGGTATTGCTTATGTCAAAATGACTATCAAGCCTCAAGCCATAACTTTTGGCCCACAGTCCACATATTTTATCTTGCAAATATAGCACCATGACCCAATTCAGTCAATTCAATAGGAATACAAAAATAGGTGGTGTTTTGCCTGACTGTAAAYCCATATTAGAAAGTGTTGACTTATTGTACAATTTTAATGATTTATACAAAGAGACCTATATGTAAAACATATTTTTGCAAAAGCTTTTAAATACATTGGGCACAYTTAATTCTAATATTAGATAAAACATATCTGAATGCATTATTTATCAGATAAGAGAAGGAAGAGAGCTAATCAATAAAGCATGTATTGAATTTTTTGGCACTAATGATCTATAGAGCAGATTTTTTTAAAGCTTGAATTTAATAATTGTATATAGCCCATTAATTCAGCTTAAATCTATTAAATAATTATGTTTAATGAAATACGTTTCTAAATTCTGAGTGTTTTTGAAAGCAGCATTGGCAGAAATAACTAAATGCATTAATATAGAGATAAAGAGTGCTCTGATAACATGGTAGGTTTTACAATATTTTGGGATTCTTCATCATTTCTAATCACTACTTGTGATAATGTGTCTCTGTTGGGRGAGATTCCAAAGTATTTAACATTTTATATAGTGAGTATATTTTTACCAGATGCAATAAAAATAGCAATATATGAAAATAATAATAAAAATAAAACTGTATTTAAAGCAGACATTTTATTTAGTACATGAATTATATAATATATTTAAAAAAAACATTACAAAATTAGAATAAAAAAGCTTGGTTATTCATAATTAAATATGTTTACATACACTTTAATAATTATAACATTTAAAARGATACATGTAAACAAACTTAAAATTTGAGGAAAGAGACACATTGAATAGCAATGCATCTATAAGAAACAGTGTACAGCATTAGATTTTTACACTTTTTTTTCAACAGGAAGCAAACAAAACCCCTTAGGCACCAAGTTTATAATCATCAATAACAAATTCCTACTGAGAGGCATTAAGTTAAAAAAAACATGTCAAGAGTGACAATTTTAGTTAACYYGTAAAGGAAACAAAGGAAGCTCCAACTCCATTGCAAAAAAATCAACAAATGACCTTATTGTACCTGTATTTCAAAACATAACACAAGCCAATCTCAAATTGAAAGATTAAAGAATTGTACTTAATATTTTTACTTTAATGAACTTCCCCAAGAACAGTTTTATAAAAAGTAATTTACCTTTCTACACAATTTATCTAGTTAAATGCTGTGTTTTTGATGCAACAGCATCTTTGTCAAATGAATATGTCAAGTACAATTCAGTGTCAGACCAAGGAGAAGTGTGGTAGCGCGTGTTTGAGTGTGCCCTTCAGGGTTGCCTGGTGATGGCAATTGAAAGTGATATATGACCAAATAATGTACATTATACTCGCAAACAATTTTTAAACATCATTAAATGATAAATGTTCACACAAAGCCAAACTCACAAATGGTTTATAGTACCTGTGTTGCTAATAGTAAATTCAAAGAGGAAGTACAAAACRTTATTCTGAGCATTGTTAGTATTGAGAATAATTCTAACTGATGTTTGGAACAGTAATCTTCAGGCAATCTCTCCGGCAAAGGAATTAGCATTCAAAATTTGACTTGCAATATATACTTAAATTTTCTTTAGATAGAATAGCATGGATAAAAGACACAGTAATCAAACCATTTGAAAACTTCAACTGTAAACATTTTCCTTACTTTATTTCTAGGTTTGACAATGGAAGATTGGCCCTCAAAAAGTTGTCATAATTCATTAACACCCATATCTAAGGCCTATARCATGAGCAGAATATAACAATGTGCATTTTCAAACGCTCAATGTATTCAATCCTAAATGTTTTATTAATAATTATGCTTTCTTACTATTGTTTTATTATCCAGAAAATGTTTGAATGTCATTATTTTGCAAATATTTTCAAGCCTCACATGTTGCAAAACATAAAAACAATGCTAAATTTATCTACCATTATGACAAGTAAAAAATTTCTTTGGATTTAGAAATTTTTCTTATAGTTCAAATCAGAAAAACAGCCGTTCATCTAAGATTTACCCAAATTCACTTAAAATTCACAAAAGGGTTTGAAGTTAATGGTCAGGATAAGTGATTCTTGTCTCAAATGTGTGCAYATTATTATTCACTTTTTCAAAAAGCTCCCTTTTGAAAGTTTTCCATTCTATTCTAGATAAGAATCATTGCCTATCAAGGACAGACTAATCTTAAAATGAGGCTAAAAGAAATTAAACATCTATTTCTTGAAATACGCCCTTACCTCTATACAGTTATTACAAATGCTGCAGTGTGAGCATCTAGGTGGACGGTAAAACCGACAGGTTTCACACCATTTCATGCGTACTGTAATTCCATTAATATCAATATTCTTATATAATGGTGCTTTAAAATCATCTTCAAATTCTGGATTAGGTGGAGCTGAAACAAAGAGCAGATTAAATTTATAGAATATTCAGACAATATTTGTGTATAAAATTGACAACCGAGAGCRATATATGCAGAGGAGAAGATTGTGGTTTTCAGATCAGTGACCAATTTTTTTATGTGGATTTTCATCCTTTTGATATTTTGACTTGTGGATTTGCAGATCGCTCAAAATGGAAGAAGTATGCATTAGAGGAGCTGCTGGATTTAGACAATTTTTCTTATGGATTTAAACTACATTTTCTCAGCTGCTTCTCATGAACCTCTCCACCAACTGATATTTTTGTTAGATTTTGAAGAGAGCCTGCATTAGGTTTTTTACCTGCCTGGACTTTCCAATAAAATCACATGTGAATCGATGTCAAATATACAAACATATCGGTTAACGTCATGTCATACAGGGTTCTTAATAGTACATGTATTAACGTGTAGTAGCCAGCAAACATAACCAGTTATTGCTAAGTTAATCATTGCTACATGATGAAATTATTTGCAGTTTTCTTGTTAATACAGCTTCAGAAAATCTCTCTACTAGTCAGACTTGCTGTCTATTTTTTTCTATTGAGAAAAAACTGTTTTATGATGGTGAATTATACCTCGAGGTATATGTTTGCAAGTCTTCAAAATATACCCAAAATGTAAATACTGTGATAGCATAGGAAACAATACAAGAGAATGGAGGATATTTTGCATTTTATAATAATTTTCACTATAAAGAGTTTTTTCTTTTCAGTGGAATATTTTTCTGTCACCCATACAAGGAATTTTGCAAATGTTTTCAAACAGGAAATCCAGTTGATACACTTTGAAAACAATATTGTTTWAAAGTTATTTTGGCAAGTTCTTTCAAATCAAAGCTTCCATTTAAATGAGGAAAACAACTTTTTGACAGAACGTTCCAGTTCAGTTGAAAAGTGAAAAATCACTCAAGAGGAACTGTCTAAACACAACTTATTCAAGATCAATAGAATGAAGATTTTGCAAAGAAATGATGTATTCTTATATTAAAACCCAAACAACTATCTGACAAKCAAATCACCTGTATTCAAAGTATTGAAACAACGAAGAAAGATGTATTGTTTCAGATTTAGCCACCGAAAGAATCTGTCAGTATCCATTGGCTTCCACAGAAGAATTTAAACTTTGCATACAGAAACCGGATTAAGTTCATACTCAAGTCTCTTGTATGTTTGTCCAAATTGTTTCGATCACAAAGAAAAGAAAGTAAGGTTTTCAAAAGYAACAGAGTCGTTCTAATGATCCCAGTCAAAATTTTTAGTCTTCGAAAATTCCAAAATTCGAATACGTCAAACAATGGCTCGTAATTGAGGAAATAGAATTCTCTGTTGCTAAAATAGTAAATTGTAAGTTAATTACAAAAAATTATTGATTTGTACATGATATAGACGAAAGAAARTCTGTACAAATGAACTTAAGTTATATTTTTTTAATCTCTAAAAGCACAAAGACAATGCTAAAGTGACAGTTTTCTTCCGATCTATGGCATTTCCCGATGYAACAATGATACAGGAATATATTCACTTTAACCAGTCAAATATTAATGGGAAAACGCTAGATATGTTATGTATTCCACCATCAAACTATTTTTATAAGCAAAGAACATGTATGAACTAAGCTTAAATACTCACCTCGAGGAACGATTCCCGGATCTCGAAASGTTGCGTGCGCAAAATTAGCCAGAACAAAAAATGTCAAAAYTCCCTCGTAGATAGGTATTGCAATAGAGTAAGTACTCATAAGATGTGGACATCTAAAACGAGAAAAGAAATGGAAAAACATCCTGTAAGCAATGGTAATATTCATTGATAAGCGTGGGACAACGTCCAAGTGCCGCAAACCAGTCAAATAAACTTCGCTTGTAACTATGTTTTACTTACACAAACACAAAAAACAGCGTGGTGGTGCCAACAAGAAGTATTGTAGCACTAATAATCGGGATTTGTTTTGAGCTAAGTGCCTTTGAAGAAGAGTTTTCGGGCATTTTTAGCACGAAGCCTGCTGTAAGCCCTTCCCTTGATATGCCGAAGGAATATTTCGAGACAATCTGAGCATGCGCAGTTCCATTGCACTTGTCCAGCATCCGGCCAGCGGCTTCAAACATCACAAAACAAAATGGATTCCAAGTGATATATATAAATTATTTTTATATTTTGGGAGTTTTTTGGGATTGATTAGTAACTTTTGCATCTTTTTACTGGTTTATGATAAGTAAAACTTCAGCATGAGTGAAGAATCAGAGGAATTACTACTATTTCGAACTGCTTGGCAACAAGAACTTGAAAGTTCCAAACAGTTGAAGTCTGACACTCCAAAAGTGAACTTCACTGATCGTGACGATATAAACGAAGATTTACTGCTGTCAACAGTTAGTTTTAACAAGTTAACGAAGGACAAGGGAAAGCCCGAAMAAAACCTCAAATCATCAAAAGAAATCGTACTAATAAATCTACCAAATCCTGCAGCACATCAAACTTTTCATATCAGCAAAACATCAAAGAAACGAAGACTTGAYCATAAAAACAACGAAGAAAATCTTCTTGAGCAGCTTATTTCTGATATAGATGAAATAACCGTGATTCCCTTCTTTGATATACAGTTACCAAGAGAGATTGGTCTCAAGATATTTCAATTTCTTGACATCAAGGACTTGTGTMATTGTGCTATAGTGAGCAAGTCATGGAGAAACCTAGCAGAAGATGAAATATTATGGTTTAAGTTTGCYRCTAGCTTGGGTTTTGAAGCTAATAATTGCATAGTTTCTGAAAAAACAGATTGGAAAGGTCATATCCACAAAAGGATAACTGAGCAAAGGCAGTTRCAGTCCAGATGGAGAGAGAGAGTCTGCAAAGTTGATGTTATGGASTATGAAAGAGGTGATATAATTCATCTGCAACCTGTAGAATATGTCATTGCACACTAAATTTTAATAAATTGTACTTCAAAAATCATCACAACAGTTGATATAGTAAGGACACCACATTTTCCTGTCTGTGTAGCAGCCSTCATCAACATGGATCCTGYTGGCATAACTTGAATTTTGACTGTTCAATCAATTTTTTGTCCTGTACTATGTACATTTGCSAGTCTTATGATTCTTKGTTTGTTAAAATTTGAATTTTAAATGCATATAATATTGTAAAATTCTTTCCACCAGGTGGAATCTTGTGTACTGCCTCTAAATCCCATGATCAAGTCTTTGCAGGGTACTCATCTGGTGCATTGCTCTTATGGAATATAAAAGAAGTAACTTATAAACATTTTGAAAGTGAGCCTTTTAATACACAACAAGAGATTATGCCAACATGCTCTGCTGTTAAAGACACAATTTGTGCTGCAGGGTATAGTAATGGTGAGTTTTGAAATTGCTACAGTTTTTTGTTACTTTTCCACACATTAAAGTTCATTAGATAATTTGTTTTAGAACTAGTTCTTCAATTTAGCTAGCCTGTGTACATCTGTTCCCACCCCTCTCCCCTACGGGAAAAAGTCTTCCTCAAATGGGAAGGGGGGGGGGGGAACAAATGTATGCAGGCTACAATTTAACCAAGAATAATACAATGTAATTGGCCAGTTTGAAACACAATACTSAGTTCCCAACAAAAATTACTGAAAATATACTACTGATATACATGAAGTGCCAGCATGCAAAAAAATACATAAAGCAGTTGATGAAATTGTTTTTGACAACTTTCAATGTTGCAAGATGAAAACGATTGCTGAAAATGGTCCAATGAGTCAGTCATCAATAAATTAACAAATCAAATTCGCTTTTTTGATTATTTTCTGGCGTCATTTTCATTGTCGATAAGCGTACAGACCATAAACTGCTCTGTTGTTTTTATTATTCAACAACACAACTTTCTGAAGGGGCAGGCTCTATGTACTTCTTTGTTGCGTATAACCCTCCTGGGAGGGCTCTATGGCATCATGTGGTACATTCTCCACCCTCTCCATGAGCAGACGAAAATTTGTCAAATATCAGCACCACAGTGAGAGAAGATCTTGTCCACAATATTAACCACTCRTATTAACAATGAATGATGTTTCAGGAGATATCAATATTTGGCATACAACTCTACCAACATCTCCACTCTATCATTGTCAACTTGAAGGACCAGTGAAATCCATTGTATTGTCAACAAGCACAGTYCCTGTAGCTGTCAGTATYTCTGATAATGACTTGAGAATTGATGTCACTGATGATAATGGCCACTGGTTTAGTTTGAAACAGAGAAACTTTGAAAGTAGAGTAAGTTTTCTAACCTCTTTCACTATATATTTTTGTTTTACTGCATTTATGAGTTAATATACTGGCTGTTAAACAAAGCTAAGTGATATCGTTAATACGGTAATATCTTATCACTGAACTTGTGTGGTTTTCTTGTGGGGAGAAGGGAAAGAATGAATGAAAGAAAGAATGAAATCAGCCCCATACCTTTATCTTTCTCCCCTTCTAAAGCCACCATGCAGGCTAATGTAGTGTCCTTCACAATTCACAATCTTGAAAGGTAGGCATACCTTTTCCTCCAAGCCAATAGTTAATTGTCACAGCTATCTATCATTAGATGCTCGTCTGTCATCTTGCTTAGGTACAAATGCACAACCTTTTTTCAAGAAGGCATAGAGAAGCATGAAGGGGACTTTTTATAGAAATCTAATTATTATATTGTATTCTGTTGTGTTCAGATCAAAGATGTAACCATGATATCAGAATCAAACMACGTTGCCATAACTACTCGTGATACTCTGTATCTGCATGGTACATGCCCSGGTGATGACATCACCACTATAGATCACGTGGTTGGTGGTAAGATGACATGTATGGATTGTAAGAAAGATTTAATTGCTGTCGGCGTAGGGCCTTATGGATATGGTATCCTTGGTAACACGGTAAGTATCRCCAAAACTAGAATGTAAAGAAATAGTGAAAAATGCTCTCCGATTAGTACGTCTTTAAAACTGACCACAGATGTAAGACGTTTGGTAGTTTTTACTATACGAACCAAAATAGACGATTTTCATGATGACGTCACGTACTATAGAGACCAGAAAACTTTGCCCACTTTCTTTTGATGTTAAGGTACGCTAATACGAGCTGCAAAAATCGTCCAACCTGTCTCGCAACATTGCGGCAAAAAGTGGTAATGTCGCATTTTACTACAGGCGAACCAACTTGTCTTGCAGCAAATAATTTGTTTCAGGTTGAGCAAATCCTTATGTCTGATTGGCCAATGCAGTCAGCTGATTATGCGCGACGTCAYTTTGATGCGAGACAAGTTGTTTTGTTGTGGTAGTACGCGCAACATTGATGGATTTTSTTGCAAAAAGTAGAACGATCTTCTACTTTCTTCAACAATTTTACTCMACCTGCAACAAATTATTTTGCTGCAAGACAAGTTGGTTCGCCAGTAGTAAAATGCGACATTACCACTTTTTGCAGCAATGTTGCGAGACAAGTTGGACGATTCGGCGGTAGTAATACGCGCGTCATCGCTTTGCCACTTGTTACGGGACAAGGTTGACGATTTTGATATTCGTATTAAGTCCCAACAAAAGGACTTTCGTATTTCCGAGTTTTAGTCCCTCTGTAGATTAGTAGAACGATTGGGACTAGTTTCATTKCAAAAAATGTGAGCATGGGGCTGAAACATAATCGCCGCAGTGAAAACTGAACAATCTGAGTGATTGTTAAAAGTAGATCACGCGAAAAATTCCAAGTCATGATCTCTGAACCATCTAACGTTGCAGTGCTTGCCACGTGAAAACGAACCCGTGAAAACATACAATATCAACCAACTTTCATAGGAATGTTATCTAACTTTATTGTGGGCACGCTTTTTAAAAATCGTGATACGTTTGTAAGAATGGSAATGAATTCTCACCTTTTTGTAACTTTCCTATTCTTGAATTCCGAAAGCCATAATATTCCATATTCCCAGTATTCCTAAAAGTTGAAGATCGAACCTGAGTTCCAAACCCTTGCGGCGCAACCCATTCATAATGATTTTAAACTGATTTGGTTTGATTGGCAGTGCAACTTTACCAGCGAAGAACCCTAAATAGACTGATGTTATTGAAACTGAAAGGAATCAATTTGTTTGAAAAACAGAACCAGACTGATTCTGAACTGAGTCATTTCACGTACTTGGCGTTACAGCTGTTTTTCCTGTCGCTAATCAAATCAAATCAGGTTTTGGAATTTAAGAAAACTATGATTTTCAGGCTACAAAGCGCTAAATATATGATGACGTATTAGACGTCATTTTTACACGTAATATAAGTTGCTTTAATTAACAAGAGTGTATCCGYTGYGTATTTGCGAAAAGGTCCGCTGTTGTTCTCTAGCGTTTGAGCAGCCAGAATATCACGATCGTTGCGACAACACTTAAGAATTATTTGGAT